AGGGACTACATTAGGGCCAATGTATATACTATATGAGCACATGGACCCTTAGGGAAGTCGTAGGCACCGGCATACATTTTGCCACCAAGCAAGCAGCAAGCTTGGGGACGATCCGGGCCCCAGGTTGGACCCGTCTGTAAACTACCCATAGGCTCCATAGTAGTTCCTTTTGGTGGTTTGTATTTAGGACCCTATTAGGTAATCCTAAACCCTAAACACTTAAACCCTAAACACCTAAACCCTAAACCCTAAACCCCATCCCAAAAAGGAACTACTATGGGGCCTATGGGTAGGCCCCAGGTTCGACCCGTCTGTAAGCTAAAGCATCGCACCCACAAGGCGGCTGCAGGTTCTTTGGGTTTAGGGTTTAGGGTTTAGGGTGGTTTAGGGTTCTATCCCCGACTACAGCAATGTCCTCCCGCAGGTCCGCAAAGATCTCCTGAGCAGGCTGTTCGACAAGAGCGCCCTGAGGGTCCAAGCAACAAGTTTTACCTATAGTCTCCATTGTTGTTCCTTCTTTTGGTTTAACCAATCAATTATTAAGGATTTTATAAGGTATCCCCAAAAAGGAACTACAATGGAGGCTATAGGTATAATATTGAACCCAGCTGATATCAATCAAAATTAGGTACCGTTGGCCCGAGTACCTCGATCCTGCGGGACAGGGAGTTGGTATAGGAATGACTGCGATTGCTGTGGCTTTGGGGGGCACATATCACGATGTTTCAGGTCCCTAAACCCTAAACCCTAAACCCTAACCCCTAAACCCTTTTCCTCCTCCAGAGTCTCTGCTTGCTTTTTTCGTTGAAAGAAACAGAAAACATAGGGTTTAGGGTTTAGGGTTTAGGGTTTTCTCCGCGCCACTGGCGTACATGCTTGTGACATGTCAATGCGACATCGACCCGAAACCTAAAGCAATGGAAGCTAGAAAGAGCCTTCGCTTAGGAATAACTTATAGCGGCTCTTCTCTCCAAGGAACTCAAGCTCCCTTACATTGAAACAAACAACAGGGCTTCTTCATCGACTATCACTGGCCGGAACTAAGAGAGGGACTCCACTGTCCATGACAAGTAAGGAAAGGACCTCCTCTCCCTGAAAAAAGAGGATATCTTTATGTTTCAGAAAACACAGAATCCATTGGCATAGCTAAATGCGTACAGACAAGCTGTTTTCGGTTCATCAGAGAGAGAACTCCTCTTGCAAAAAGCGCAGATATAGCAAGGCTATTCTCACGCTTACCAGCAGCCGGAAGAAAAACCTCCTGCTGCTAGCTTGCACGCAAACAAGAAACAACGGGCAAATACCAGTAGTGGGAACTGCACTTCCAGTTCTACACTTCACTAAACCCTGCACCCCAATCCCAACAACCCCAGACTCGAATGCCTACCTAAACCCTAAACCCTAAACCCTAAACCCTAATTCCTGAAATCCTGAAATCCTGAACCAAAGACCCCCTATGAACCCTACAGGCTTTCACTGAGACCCTGTACCCCTTGAAATCCTGAACTCTGAACCCCCAAAGACTTCCACTGAGACTCGGTACCCCTCAACCCTACGATTCCTTAGAGGAATTATCGTACATGATCGTCATAATGAGGGTTTACGGTTTAGGATTTAGGGCTTCGGGTAAACAGGGTTTAGGCTTTAGGGTTTACGGTTTAGGATTCAGGTACCCTAAACCCTAAACCCCTAAACCCTAAACCCTAAACCCTAAGCAGCATGCACCGTCTCCTGGACGGCCTCATCCTCCGTGAGGGCTCTGCGCGCCGTCTCTGCCTTCAGCGGATGCGCAGAAAACGGCCTACTCTGTACCCATAGGCCCCATGGTAGTTCCTTTGTGGGATTACCTACCTATGGTCTCCATTGTAGTTCCTTTTTGGGGTTACCTTTTCAGACCCTTGACATAAAATTGGTTAAACCCCAAGAAAAGGGAACGACAACGGAGACTATAGGTACTCTGTATACATAGACACCATACCGTAGTAGCTCCTTTTTGGGATTACCTGATAGGAT